CTTCAGTGACCATTCTTGAAATCGGGTGATACTTGAGTGACCGTTAGTGCAATTTTGTAACTTGAGTGACCGTTTTGTTATTTTGATGTAACTTGAGTGACCATTTATGAAATTAACCCATTAAAGTAGGTAGGTAAAAGTTGTGAAGCCTAAAAATAGAGTTTGATGAGTTTACAAATAATTACAAGCTTTGCCAAACATGCATAAATGCAAGTACATGAATAGTCAATAAAATTATTATATGAAACTAATGTAAACATGAATGTAAATTGATAAATGCTATTTGTACATAATCATTTACATATTGATGACATGACATTATAATAAAATTTAACTGATTTCATTTTTTCCTTTTTTCTCTTTCTCACTCTTCCAAACTGTCTTTTTTTTTTTTTTTTCTGTACATCAATCTATAAATAATTATGTAGAAGTAGCATTACTTGTGTAAATTTGATTTAACAAATATCATTGTGCTGTAAAAAAAATCTACAAGCAGATAGCTTCACAATGAAAATTTTTCTTGCCTTTGACTATTCTTCAGGAGGAATTCCACTGGAAATAGGTAATCTTTCACGTCTGGAAATATTGAATGTACAAGGTGGCTCTCTAACAGGGCCATTTCCATCTTTTGTCTTCAACATATCTTCTCTGAAAGTGATTGACTTTGGTAACAATAGCCTGTCTGGAAGCCTCTCAGTTGGCTTTTATCATAAGCTTCCTGAACTCGAGCAGCTGCATCTTAATTCCAATCAGCTAACTGGCCTAACTCTTTCGAACGTTTTGGATTTTAAAAGGCTTTCACTCATAGCATTGTCTAAAAACAAACTTACGGGTGGTGTACCTGCAAAAGTTGGAAACCTCACTGGGCTGAAGTATCTATATCTTGCTTCTAACAGATTGACAGGTATGTTGGACCGCTTTCACATGATTAACTTTGAATGATGATAATATTACAATGATTTTTGAAGATATTATTTCCCTCATGAGAAAAAGAAACTTGGAAGCTGGATGTACTTCAATGTCTTTCTATTTTGTTTTTCTGATCTCGGTCGCAAACAAAGCCACTGGACATCACGATATCCTAGATTTCTTCTTATTAGTTCAACAAGTAGATCAGATGTAGTTTTATTTCATGATGCAGGCTCAGTCAAAGTACTCCTTTTGAATTCTTACCCTTCTTTCCACTAACATAATTACACCGGCTTTTGATCGTTTGATTTCTCGCAAGTATACGGTGTCGCGAACAAGTAATAAGGTGATGAATAAAGTATGGTTCCCATGAGGAATTCAATCTATGATCAATCAATTCTAACTCTAATAGAATAGCAAATTTTGTTTGAAAAGTTTATACTAAATTAATTAATTAAACTAACAAATCTAATGAGCAAATTATGATATTTGGTAAATTTAGATGATAAAGTTACTAAGATCTCGAATTTCCTTTATTAATCCATTTCAATGCAATTAAATGACATGACCGTTTATGCAAATTCTTGTTGATCAATGTTCCTTAGTTAAATAAAAGCACATTTGGATATCAATTAAATATATCATTTCATGTGACCTTCTTATATCTCTATAAAATATAAGAACATGAAAGCATGCATTAAAAATGCTATAACATATATAGAAACCATGCAAAGCATAACGGTATATCTTTTTCTCTTGTTGGACCTTACAATGATTGTTATAAAATACTTCCAATTAGGATTTGGTATGGTCTGATTCGGTTCGATTCTAAAGAGAACTTAATAAAACTCAAATTTTCGGGTATTTAATAAATGAAATTTTAGGGTCTAAATTTAATTATGGAACCGTTCGGGTTCGGTTCCATTCTGTTCAGTTCGGTTCGATTCTATTCGGTTCCAGGGTTCCGTACAATAATTAATTTTTTTATATTACAACAACATTACATTAATTCGACTATGACATATTCAATCTTAACTCTTACAAAATAACGTAATCCAATTTCGTGATATCTTTTACACCTATCTTTGTTCAGTTATTCATATATTTGACTATTAAAATCACAGGAAGATGAAAATGGCTAGTTCATAATAATAGAACGTCAGAAATGACATTTGGTCTAGAATCGAGAATCGAACCAAACTTATCGGTTCTCGATTTAGATACCCGTTCGAGTATATAACTTAATAAGAACCGCTCGATTTAATTCGGTTCGATTTAGTTCAGTTCGGTTAGGGTCCAGTTCTGTTCGGTTCAGGTCCGGGAGTTTTATTCACCCCTAATTCCAATCCTATTGTTTCTCTCGAAAACAAAATTCACAATCAATCCAATTATTGATCAAGTAATTGAAAAATTATTAAATTCTGTAGTTATCATCCATTAATAAACACATATTGAGAGTCAAATTATTGAATTTATATTAAAATATTATAATAAGGGTTCATCAATCTCTTAATAGTTAAAACCTTAGCCTACATTACAAAATTACAAAAAATCATAATTAATTAAAGAACATAACTAGATTTTTAAATTGATTAAGAAGAAGGAGAAGAAGATTGATCTTGAAATCTTGAATTTCTTCAATGATTATGAATTTCCAATATATCTTCGTGTTGTCTCTCTAAACACAAGATTGAAACTCCAATTTCTTGAAAACTTATAATTGTCCTTTAATTCTCACAAGAACAATGAACTGACCTCTCTTTGATGATTTTAATTGACAAATTTAGGAATATGAGAGGTCTTTCTTCATGTACGAGGCTGTTGTGTATTTATAGATCTCGAAAATAGGTAGAAAGACACGCCCAAAATCCAATTGAAGAGTAATTCTAATGAAATCAAGAATGCCCTCGGATCTACCCAAATTGGCTTGGGTGATCGCCCAATATAAACCTAGGCGATCGCCGTAGCGAGCCTTGAAAAAATGTGTCACATTTTTTCTACTATTTTTGACTCAAATATGTTCTTTTCTTTTTCTATGCTTAATATAGACATGATGACCTTCTTAATGAAACTGAATATATCTAAAACTAATGTACCTTAATAAAATATATGTAATGCAAATACATAAAGTATAATAAATAAAAGGGTATGAACTTGAGTTACCTCTTAATAAGCGTTTAATTTAAAGTCTTTAGTTAGACTTCGTTGAGGAGTTAATCATGGTGGTTCAAAGTGGGCTTCGTCAACAAATTTTTAATCATAATGTTTAGCATTGCCAACCCCTTTTTTGATTATCCATGATTGAAAAGCTCCTTTTTCATCCTTAAGGTTCCCAATTGTTCCACCAATTTCTTTTTAATGGTGACACTTTAAATGCTCTTTCGCTTCTTCCTCCTTAACCTTTTTTCCATTCTCTTCATTGAATGGTTTCTCAATAGTGGAATAGATTTTGAACTTTTCTTACTTATCATCCATCCTCAATGTCAATTCACTTGCTTCAAAGTCCATAATAGTTCAACTTGTTGATAGGAAAGATCAACCCAAGATTAGTAGTGATGCATCCCATGGTTCTTTTATGTGTAAAACAACAAAGCCCACTGGAAATATGAACTTTCCCACTTTAATGAACACATCTTAACCACTCTTAGTGGGTATTTGATTGATGTGTCCACAAGTTGAAGAGACATAGTTGTTTCCTTTGACTCTTTCAAACTTAAATTCTCGTCGACGGAAAGAGGTATTAAGTTTATATTTGCTTCAGAATCAAATAAACAATTGAAAGTTGAATTATTTCCTATAGAGCAAGATATTTTGACTCCCTAGATCTCTTAGTTTATGAGGTAATTTGTTTAGCAAGAGAGCATTACACTCCTAATTTAGCGCATAGCTCGCTATTTGAGATATGACTTCAAGTAATGGAATGTTGATATGAAGCTTTTTGAATATGTCCAAGTATTTTGCAAATTATTTTTCGAGTTTCTTATTTTAGTCTTTGAGGAAAGGGGAAATAAGCTTGTGGATTGTCTAAATTTTGATCTAAAATTATTTTTGTTGATTGTTCTAAATGATCCACGTGCTCCTCATCTATGGAATGTAACTTTTCATTCAATACCACTTATCTCTTAGTTATGATTTTGAAATTTGCACCTCATTGTACGTAGTGATTGCCTGAACTATTTCCCATTTTGCCTTTGAGGGAATGGAATAGGTGGCACATATTCTCGTGTAACTGGAGCAAATTTGATTGGTGGAGTGTCAACCTCATATTTTACAACATTTATTGCTATTACCTGCTATTTGGGATTTGTCTCAATATCACTTAACATAGTCTATGACTGTCTCTCTAAAAGTGTTTTGGCTATTTGTTCCATCTGATTTTTTCAAATTCTGTATAGTAGCCCTTTGAATCTGAACATTTGTCTGAATTTGTTGCATGAATTTAGTTGATGCTTCAGCTATTTAGTCAATACTTTAGTTGATGACGCTCATATTTGTTTAATGCTTCAGTTGATGACATTGGCATTTTGCTCAACCCTTTTTCCTGGTCCTTTGAAAACCCACAAGTGTAAGGGATCGTGGTCAAGTAATATAATGATGAATAAAGTGTCGAACCCACGAGAACTATGCGTTTGACCAAGTTCAAATTAATAGTACCCTTAATCGAATAGTAAATAGATTTTGAGTTTTATATACTAATATCTAAATTATCGATTAAAGTAGAAAGCAATTTAACTGGTTTGATTTCAAATATGTGAAAGTATTGCTAAGATCTCGAATATCTCTTGTTAATCCATTTTTAGTACAGCGAATTAAAGTGACAATTTGTAATCAATCTTGTTGGTCAGTATTCCTAATTTAATTGAAAATTTCTCTCGATAGTTATCAAATATATTCCTCTCACATGACCTTCCTTCTCTGGATGAAATATGCGAACATGATAAATATATTAAATGATCTAGAATACCTATGAAAATCATGTAAAGTATAAATGTATATCTCTATCCCCTATCGAACTTTACAATATTTATTATTTTTAGTTAAAAACTTATTATCTCTCTCGATAATAATCGATTCCAATAAATTGTCTCAATTAGTAGTTAATTAATGGAAAAGTCGGTGAAAACAATAATAAACATTCAAGAAAATAAACATATTAGTCGTCAAAATAATTAATTAATATTAAAAATTTCAAAACAAGGATTTGTCTCATCCCATCAATGTATAAAACTAGCCTAACATAATGAAATTATAAGAAATCATATTTAAATAAAAAGATATAATCACAATTTTTGATAAATTGAGAAGATGAATCTTGAAATCTTTAATCTCTTCAATGATTTTTTGATGAATCTCTACTTGCATATTCTCTTCTTTGCCCAAAAATCAGGTTTGAATCTTCACTTAATTGAATTTTTGCAATTCCCTTTCAATTCTCTCACAAAAATTATGAATTTCACACATTTGATGATAATAATTGATGAATATTGGAGTAAAATATATATATGAAAGGTCCCCAATATGTATTCTAATGTTAGGTATTTGTAGGAGTAGAACATTGGTTGAAAAATCACGTCCAAATTGATTTTCAAAAGAGTTCCAATCGAATAAGGAAAGTTTCATTCGCGCGAATTTTTTGTCTCTACACAGTGGTCCTACAACTTTGATAGAAATATAATTTTTTCAATTCGGACATTTACTGTGCCAAACACGGGTCTTAATATTTGGTTAAAAATCTGGAATATAACCTGTGCGATTGAAAATTGATTTTTATCATATTCCATTCCTTTTTGAGTTCTAATTCTATCCAATTGTCTCCTAGAAATATTCAAAGTATCTTTTTGTGTCTGGATCAACTATTGAATAATTATAATTTAGTCCTCAAACTTTGAATTTTACCAATTTTCATCAATATTCGCTTTTTTCTTTCGATTTCTCGTTCAACCATTGTGTTTTACCTATATAATATAATATACAACAATTGAGGATATATTTTGT